CATAGGTGCATATGTGGCAATGTGCTTTGCTGCCTCCATCCCTCCCATCACCTATGTCTGGCATTTCTCCCCATGTTATCCCCCCCAGCCTCCCTACCCCCCACTGTCCCTCCCTTATTCCCCCAACAGACCCCAGTGTGTGATGTTCCCCTCCCTGTGTCCATATGTTTTCATTGTTCAACACCCGCCTACGAGTGAGAACATGCAGTGTTTGAAATCTTCTCCCTTTAACAATATAAAAACCTTAGAACATTTTGGCCAGGCACGGTGGTTTATGCCTGTAATCCTAGTACCCTGGGAGGCTGAGGTGGGTGGATCACAAGGTCAGGAGATTGAGACCATCCTGGCCAACATGGTGAAACCCCATCTCTACTAAAAATTAAAAAAATTATATGGGCGTGGTGGCATGCGCCTGTAGTCCCAGCTACTTGGGAGGCTGAGGCAGGAGAATCCCTTGAACCCAGAAGAAAGAGGTTGCAATGAGCTGAGATCGCACCAGTGCACTCCAGCCTGGCAACAGAGTGACACTATATCTCAAAACAAACAAACAAATAAACTTTAGAACATTTTAACTGCAACTCCCTCATGATGTAGACTCCATTTGTTTTGTATTTTAGTTGTGTGTTTAAAAAAACCCACAAGATGTTATTGTTAATGTTTTTTATGTAATCAGTATTTGTTATATTAGCCAACAGATTTATCACTGCCTTTGCTCTTCATTCCTTCTTGCATCTCAGACTTTCAATACTGCATTCATTTCCTTCTGCCTAAATTTTATTCGTTAAATTTCCACTAGTGCAAGTCTGTTTCTCCTGGTGGTGAGCTCTTTCAACCTTTATTTGCATCAAAATGTGTTTATGTCCTTACTTTTGAAAGTTTTCTTATCAGCATAGTCAATATATTATTTCATTGTTTTCTAGCAACTATATCTGCTGTTGAAGAGCCTGTGGACCATTGAGGAGTGGTAAATAGTGGCCAAATTGTGGATGAAAACAATTTGTCTTTTGTTTCCTCTCTAGCTGCATATAAGTTCTTTTTATGTTTGGTGGTCTATAGGTTAATTGTGATGCATCTAGGTATATAGGTATTTTTATTTATCCTGCTTTGCATTTATTGGGATTCTTTAATCTGTAGGCCAATGTCTTTCATCACTTCTGGACAATCTCATCCATTATTTATATACATTTAATAGAAAACAAGAACAATTGATAATAAATGACCTAAGCCTAATTAAATGCAAGAAGACAGAAAAAGAAAAGCAGTAAACTAGAAAAAAAAGAAAGAATGAAAATAAAGCAGACAGTAAGAAAATAAAAACAAAAATATCCCAAAAAGGATTAAAAATTGGCTTTTAAATTTTTTTTAATTGGCTTTTTTTTTTTTTTTTTTTTTTTTTTTTTGAGGCAGGGTCTCACTGTCACCCAAGCTGGAGTGCAGTGGCACAATCTTAGCTCATTGCAATCTCTGCCTCGAGGGCTCAAGAGATTCTCATGCCTCAGCCTTTCAAGTAGCTGGGACTACGGGCACATGCCACCACACCCAGCTAATTCTTTGTATTTTAGTAGAGACGAGGTTTTACCATGTTGCCCAGGGTGGCCTTGAACTCCGGAGCTCAGGTGATCCACCCACCTTGGCCTCCCAAAATGCTGGGATTACAGGTATGAGCCACTGTGCCAATCAAAAATTGGCTTCTTTAAAAGAACATAAAACAGGCAGATCTCTGACAATAATGATAAAGAAAGGAAAATAGAAGGCACAAGTAAATAATATTAAAATGAAAAAAGTTGACTATAGATACAGTAGAAGCTTTTTTAAAATCATAGCATGGTAACTTTATGCCAATACATTTTAATATATGAAGTGAAAATTTCCTAGAAAAATGTAAACTACCAAAAATAACTTGAGAAAAAAAAATAACAAACTTAAAACAATATTGTTAGATAATTTGAATTGGTAGTCAGAAATATCTCTGTGTTTTAAACACACAGCCACATACACACACTCACATGCTGTAATATGCCAGAGGGGAGAAGGTCTCAGGCCTTTTATTGGCAACCTGACAGGGCCAGTTAGTTCTTTTTATACTATTCCATGAGGAAAAAAGAGGAAAAGCTTATCAACTTATTTCGTGGAGCTATTATAACTTTGCTACCAAAATTGAAAAAGCACAGTGCAAGAAAAAATATATATAGATCAATCTTATTTAGGAACATAGAGGCAAAGATTCTAAATAAATATTAGCATTTTTTAAATGTTCATCATAATCAAGGAAAAATGTAAGGAAAGTTCAGTGTCGAAAAAATCTAGCAATATAATTAACTGTATTAACACATTTAAAAAGAAAAACCTTGTGATTATCTCAATATATGCCAAAAGAAAAAAATCATTTAATGCTATTCAACATTAATGATAAGGGAAAATCCTCTGGATGGAGTAGAATAGAAGATAATTTTCTGATCCCGATTATTGTTACCAACCAAAACCGTAGAGCAAAAAATACTCTTAGTAGGGAAATTTTTGAAGCATTCCTTTTCTATTTCTCCATTAAAAGCAGAGACAAGTCAAGGATGATCATTGTTACCACCATGTGTGTACTGAGGTCCTAGCACATGCAGTAAGACAAAGTATGAAAGGAAGAGAAGAGGGAAGGAGGAAGACAAGGGAACAGGTAGTACCAGTCAGGAATGCATGTATCAGAAAACTACCAGTGGCCTAAACGATGAGGAGTTTGTCCCGTACCCAAGAAACTGGGAAGTGAGGAGCCTAGGGAAGGTGGCACTGATCAGCAGGGTTGTCGTGGTGTTCCCTCTACCTTACCCTCTTTGGTATGTTTGATTTCATCCTCATTCTTGCCACCCCGTGGCCATAAGATGGCTTCTGCAGCTCTGGGCCTTACACATGCAGTGTCAGTCTGTTCCCAAAAGCCTTGGGGTAGACTTTCCCTTACATCTCACTTCTCACTGTTAGCCTCAAGAAATGCTGGGAAAGTCAATGTCCAGGGATAGGGTTAGAGCTATCCCTGGATAGATGTTGGATTACAAACATACTAAATAATACTTAGAGTGATGTTATGCTACTCTAATCCATTCATGGAAATTCTGTTCTTCTTTGGTGGATATTAAATATATTTAATATTTGAGACATACTAAAAACTTATTTATTGTTTATCTTAAGTTAAAATTTAATTGTATGTTCTTTTTAAATAAAATTTTCTTCTAATCTGAAATGCTAGGAGCTGGGCGTATTGTCACTCTGAAAAAATTGGGACTCTAAAATTAGTAATAACTACCACAGAAGCATACAAGTTTGTCCAGAAAGACAAGGATTTTTTCCTCTGATACTAACTCTGGAAAAATTTACCAAACAGATTTTTCCAGCAGGGAAATTGAGTAGCAAAATAGGCAGTGCCCTAGAATACAGTTTTGTAAACATGCAGACACTTTCTTCAAATGCAAGTGTCTCGTAAAATCCAAGGCTACATGAAGTGATAATTCAGTGATAGCATTTCTGCAGACAACTAAGAAAATTCTTACTGATATCATTAACTGTGGGTTAGCCACGTGAAATTACTTATCCTTGAGGTCTTTATGCTGCCAAATTGTGTTAAAATTTTACTAAAATCCTTTAAAAGTTATGCCCACTTGAAAATTTCTCAGCTGTGATTTTGTTTGAGCATGGGAATTTAGCCATAAATCTCACTTGCCCGCAAGAACCTGAAAGTTAAACAAAAATCGTACTGAGTCTGCAGACAATGGGAATAACACATTTTACTGGTGAATCTGTGGACTCAAAGCCGGCTGGACACAGGATGTGGACTTACCTTCAAAAGTGGGACAGCAAACTCCAAATTGGACACCAGGGAAGGAGAGCATAGACAGTAAGGCAAAAACTATAGCCTTAAAATGGGGTCTTCATACACCACTGGCCATGGGAGAGTGAGGACGACAAGTCACAGGGAAGCTTGCTGGAAGCTGGGGAAACTGGAGAGGTGTAAATATGGGTTGATCAAATGCAACAAAGAAATCCCTTTTGTGAAGGTGAGTTTCACTGAAAAGTCTCTGCAATTTTTCCTACTTTTTAAAAGATCCTGAAGATACTCCTTGCAACTCAGTTGAGGCAATCTAAGAGAACCAAGTCCTCAAAGTGAGATTTTAAATTATGTATTGATATCCTTTACTAGTGTGCTGTTTTTGATCAATATCTGTCAATTCCTTCTAAGATTGTTGTTACAGAAAGCTGACAGAAAAGGGGATTGGAGCTGAAGGAATTGAGCTGAAAGAAGCCTCACTCCTTTTATTCAATTAAAAAATTTAAATAAATTATTTGTTCTCTTTCTTGGAAAGAGTAGTGTATGGATTTTTCTCTCCCGAGAATGTCAGACTTGGGTTTTTGGTAAAGGGCAGTCAGCTTTGCTGCCAGGCAGTAGGAGAGATGTGACTGAGAAAGCATTGTCTAGCATGTGGGTCCATTCTTCTCTAACCATGGACTAGGCGTATTCTCTAAAAGTTGTTGCTTATAGATTTAATTAATTTCAAAAATAATCTTTATGGTGCTTTTCACTTGTATCATTTCCCTAAGTCATTCAAATTTTTTAGAATTTTTTTTAATACAGTAGAATAGTCCATATGTAGCTATATTAAATCACCTTTTACACGAACCTGGGAATCCGGCTATTTGAAGAAATCTTACAAAGCATTTTATAAGACAGATATTACTCTCTAATTTGCCTGCTTTTAAAATTTGCCTTTTCATCTCAGCAGTTTGCATAAGGTGGGCTGACCTTGTATTCTGCTAGAACCGTTGCCCTCCCATGCCGTTGGCTTCCTTTTGAAGTCAGTGATCATAGCTGTTTCATTGAATGAATGAATACAGAAAGAAGGGTAGTGAATGTACAGTGGGTGACAGAGTCATTTGGCTTTCAAGGTGCAAATGCAATAGCATCCAACCACTGACTCAGCCTCTTCTTCTGGAAAAAGTAACATGTACCTTTTCATCCACAGTCTCTTTCACCATACCTCAGGAACCACCGCCGTCTCCAGCAGAAATGAAGTTCTTTCCCAAGAAACAGAGTTCAAAGGTATTCATATTCCTCACTACAGAAAAAAAAATTGTTCTTATTTACAACACTATCTGTGAGAGTTTTGGTGATTTACACGTTATTGAGTTGTACCTTCAACATAAAAAGTGCTATTTCAGCTGCTGCTAGTATACATTTGACTTTCAAAAGAGGAACTGTATAAGTCAACTCTACCATGATGTTATCAGTGGGGTCTAAAATTTTCAATCATGTTGCATCATGGCAAGATTAATTAAATGACTGGGTCAGCCTCTAATACTAACTGGTCAGGAGTCCAGGAATCTGGGATACAGTAGCTATTGCTTTGTATCCAAATTTGTGTCGTACAGGATGTCTTATTGTGAGGTTCTACTGTTTTTCATTTGTCTTTACAGCCAGGCTAAAAAAAGGCAAGATCTCCAAACACAGTATACCTTAATGAAGCAGGGGAAAGAAATCTGTATTATTATTATTATTATTTTGAGACAGAGTCTCAGTCACTCTGTCGCACAGGCTGGACTGCTGTGGCGCGATGTTGGCTCACTGCACCCTCTGCCTCCTGGGTCAAGTGATTCTCATGCCTCAGCCTCCCAAGTATCTGGGATTACACGTGCCTACCACCATGCCCAGCTAATTTTTGTATTTTTAGTAGAGACAGGATTTCACCACTTTGGCCAGGCTGATCTTAAACTCCTGAACTCAAGTGACCCACTTGCCTCTGCCTCCCAAAGTGCTAGGATTACAGACATGAGCCACCATGCCCAGCCTTTTTTTTTTTAAACGCATGCTTCAGCCTCCCAAGTAGCTGGGATTACAGGAATGCACCACCACTCCTGGCTAATTTTTTGTGTTTTTAGTAAAGACAGGGTTTCATTATGTTGGCCAGGCCAGTCTCAAACTCCTGGCCTCAAGTGATCCACCTGCCTCGGCCTCCCAAAATCTAGAATTATAGGAGTGAGCCACCATGCTGGGCTGAATTCTGTATTCATTAACATTAGCTCGTCACAGTACAGCCTAATTCATCCTTGTGGAGATTCCCCCAGTTTAAATGTGCTGGACTTTTCTACCTTGCTTTCTTATGTTTATGGGCTACAGACAGACTTCTGTTCTTTGAAACTTTTCACCACAGAAAGGAGACAGCTGGCACTGTCTTTTTCTGGTTTACTGTATGTGGTCATGTTTTCAGCTGTCATAAGAAAAGAAAGAAAGAGAAACTGAAGAGTGACGCAAGAGAAATTAATCCCACTGCCTCTTCATAGTAGACTGCTATCTGTTCTTCCCAGACCTTCATCTTTCAATACTGAAATCATCAAGAGGTTTCACTGTATTTTCGGCACTGGTGGGCTGTGTCCCCTTAAGAGGTTTCCAGGCTATTTATGTAGCAGCATGTCATGTGACACCCCAGTTGCCATGGCAAATATTTGTGTTTCATGAAAAATGTGGGTAAAGAAAATCAATGTAAATGGCCAAATCCCAAGACAGACAGGCCTTCAGGCAAGTGTGTGGCCTGCACCATTATTGTTTCAAATTCTGCTGTTCAACAGGCTGTGAGAAGGCCATGGGCTAATGTGCATAGTAGAAACAGGCGGAGGTACCTGTTTTCATTCTCACCCTGTTGGAGCGCTCAGGTCCCACAGTTTTATAGATAACAGATCTACAGGTAATACAAATATTATGACTAGGTTTTAGCCAGTAAATGGTTTTCCTCAAAAAAAAATAGTTTTAAATAATGACATATTTTCTGTATGCTAATGATCCCTGGTTTTAATTTCCTCTGTTGCCTTCACAAAGCTTTCCCCAGCTGCTGGAAGCAGTAATATTTAATGACTTTTTCCTGTGGTCCCAGATTGGTACAGCATTTCTAAACTGACTCTTCAATGGTAAATGTAATTATTCATGTATTTTGTGGGAAGTGTCCTGGGCATGGAAGTTAAAACACTAAGAGAAGGACTTCATTATGCCAAGCCTCATGATAGAGCCAGTACAGACCTTTGATCAGACTCAACCACAAGGCAATGTGGTGCCACACTAGTGTCCCCGAGAAGTGGGACTTGGCATCTGATTATAGTTGTTTTTGTAAATATTTACTTGGTCTTGGTGTTGAAAGAGAGAACAGGTTGGCCCAGTGGGGAAAGTGGGGAAGGGGGTGAGGCCCTGAGCCTTCTATTTGTTTTGTAAAATTGCCCATGAGAGCCGTTTTGATTTAAACTGTGTCTCATTCTTCATTGTAGGGGAAAAGCAGAAGGTCAAGAGGACATCATGATAGGAAGGTCTGTAATTTGTGTGACTAGTTGAAATTTGGGGTCTGTCACCTGATGTCCCTTCCTTTTGCTGCAGGGCAAAAGTATGGGTGACTACTTGACAGCTGGAGATGGCAACAAAAATTCCTGCTTCCTTTATAAAAGAAATGAGATCATGGTTTCAGGGGAAAAAAAAATGGTTCATTTAAAGTGAAAACCCTTTTTTTACCTTCTTTTGGGACTGAATTACTTCTCAGGCTTCTGTCCAAACAAATGACTTAGCATCCTTAAAATTTGGCTGAATCATATCAATCTTCCACCTCAGCCAAAGATTTTCGTCTTTTAAAAGTACACTTCAAAAGAAATAAAATGTGAAAAATAAATGCAGTTGTCCCCCAGCATGTGCTTGTATGCGTGCATGCATATAGGATGCACACACATGCAACATACTGCATGTATGCTATAGCAAGAGTATAGGATTTAGAGTTAAGCTGATCCTAACAACTAAGGTAACAAAAACATCAGAAAAATGAAATAGCCCCCACAATATGGCAAGTATATGCCAGCAAGGAACATTCCACAAGACCGTACATGGGTAATAAAAGTCCTGAACTTGAAGTAGGAATACACTGGATTCTCCTTTGAGCAAGTCACTTTACTTATCTGTTCTTCGCTTTCCTCCTCTGACAAATGAGGATAATACCTTTTTTAACATAGGGTTGCTGCAAGGATCAGATGGGTTAATGTGTCTGAAAGTGTTTTGGAACTATAAAATACTTGTTATCGTAACTCACTGGTCCATTCTTAAGAGCGTCTTTTTTTTGTTGTTTTTTTTTTGTTTTTTTTGAGACGGAGTTTGACTCTTGTTACCCAGGGTGGAGTGCAATGGTGCGATCTCGGCTCACCGCAACCTCCGCCTCCTGGGTTCAGGCAATTCTCCTGCCTCAGCCTCCTGAGTAGCTGGGATTACAGGCACGTGCCACCATGCCCAGCTAATTTTTTGTATTTTTAGTAGAGACGGGGTTTCACCATGTTGACCAGGATGGTCTCAATCTCTTGACCTCGTGATCCACCCACCTCGGCCTCCCAAAGTGCTGGGATTACAGGCTTGAGCCACCGCTAGGCCTCCCTTTCTTGGCGATCTTCTTATCAGTAAGAATTTCAGAGGAATCTTAGCCATCTGCTTTTGAGGAAAAACAGCCCACCTTTTGGGTCACATTTTATGCCTGCAGAGCTGTGCCTACATAGGGCTGTATTTACATCAATGATTTCATACAGTCCCTCTGTACCTAGACAGATTGCTCCTAGGTAAACTAATCAGTACAGTTAGACCCCTCCTTTGCTTTCCTTGACATCTTACTATGAGAAAATTGTGAGCCTGATTCTGCATGTTAAAAATAGGATGCGTTGGCCGGGCGCGGTGGCTCAAGCCTGTAATCCCAGCACTTTGGGAGGCCGAGGCGGGTGGATCACGAGGTCAAGAGATCGAGACCATCCTGGTCAACATGGTGAAACCCCGTCTCTACTAAAGCTACAAAAGATCAGCTGGGCATGGTGGTGCGTGCCTGTAATCCCAGCTACTCAGGAGGCTGAGGCAGGAGAATTGCCTGAACCCAGGAGGCGGAGGTTGCGGTGAGCCGAGATCGTGCCATTGCACTCCAGCCTGGGTAACAAGAGCGAAACTCCGTCTCAAAAAAAAAAAAAAAAAAAAAAAAAATAGGATGCGTTTGCAAACACTAAGGCATTATTTATCTAGAATATTTGTAACTGCTAATGTTGACTGAGCGTGTCCTGCATGCATGGCACTAAGCACCTTTCATACCCCTGGAACCCTCATAGCAGGCAGAACCTATGTGCTGCTATTGTCCCCAGGCCCACCCAGTTGGTAAAAGGGTACAAAGGATGCAGCTGACAGAGTGAGGCTCTGCAGTTTGTGCTTTCTGCAAGTTCCAGGTTATGAACGCTTCCACGTGGGTCGGTTTTTCAAATAGTGCTACTGCTGCTCCTGTTACTCACGTCTAACATGCGCTGAGTGCTTACTCTTTGCCAAGCTGTTTTCCTAATGTCTTAAGTGGATTATCTCTTAGTTTTCACAGGATTTCTGTGCAATAGACACTATTATTCAATTAGTCATCCAATTAGTAAATAATAGAACCAGCATACAAAATTAGATTATGTAACTACCAGAGCCCCCAAGCATTAGAAATTTTTATAAATCTCAATCATTTTTTACGGAAACATATTAAATTTATTACATTTCTAAAATAGATTACATTCCTGCCTACCTGATATTTTCTCTATTTAATGTCATGTATACAGGTAATCAGTTTCCATGTCTTTTACTATTTCCTTCAGTTCAGACAGCGGTTATCACCTTTGCTGTTGTGTCTGCTTTCATTAGCTCTGACTTTAACAGCTGTTTCTATCTTATGGCTCAGTTAACCAAACCCAGTTTAAGAAGTTGAATAAGTTTAAGTCAGTCAGGCTTTGCGCAGGATCCAAAGAATAAAATTAAAAATGATAGTATAGTTTGTAATAGTTATTTCAATAAATCTGAGGCATCTGTATTTTCAAGAATCTTGTTCAAAGGTTTGAGGTTGTTAAAATGGCCTGTCAGCAAATAAATCTTTTTATTATCTTAAGGCAGGTATAAAAACAATGTTAAGATTCACTTAATTTTAATTAATATTTTGATAATAAAAATCTATTTTATGGATAAGACAAGCAAACAAACAAATATATTTATTGCACTATAGGAGTACAGACCAAATTCATGAGTGAGTTTTCTTCTAGGAACAGGAAGAAAGAGGAAAGAAATTAAAAAGAAATACAGAGAGGACTTTATATATATATATAAAACATACACACATATACACCCACACCACACACATACAAGACGCACGTGTGCGTGTGTGCACACACACACAGACACATATATAGCAAAGACGATGAAAAATTAAAAATGTGTCCATGGGAGTTTTGTATATTATACTCTATACTTTTCTATGTGTTCAAAACTTTTCCAAGATATCTCCAAATTTAAAAAATACCCAATTGAAGAAAAATATAAAAGAAAACCCTGTTTCCTAAGCCATCCCTCTGTTAAGTTTATTTTGGTGTAGAAAGAATAGGTTTCAGTGATAACATTGCAGTCTCAAATGTGGGGTCTCACTTCTCTTAGTCATTCTTTTCTATTGCTTCTTTCTTTAGTATTTCCCCAACTTCTGATCGTCTCAATAGAAAACTGCAATTATTTTATGGGTGAGTCAGCTGAACTATTTTAGTCAGGCAGTATGTGTGACATTAAACATGTCACTGCCCCTGTCTGCCCTCATTTCCTCCTATCTGTATAAAAAGGAGATTGGATCAAATCAGTGTTTTTAAGGGGCTTCCATATCCCCTAAATCCTCACCTCACAGCCCCAGAGAAAGAAGAAAAGCAAAAGCTGCTAGTAATGTGGGGCTCTAGGCCCCTATATCCACAGCACCTGGGTTTTCTATTTTACCTTTTTATCATCAGACTATATGGTATTTGAACAAAGTGTTCCGGGATTTAAAATGTATACTTTCAAAACCACTAGATGATATCCAGCAGCAGCTTTGGCTCTAACATGTCATATCTGGTGGGGGGAATAAGTCTACTTCTTAAAGGGCACAGGGTGCCTCCCTGGTTGACTTTGCTCCCAGCACAATTTAAATAAATAATTTTTTCTGCCTTGCCCTAAAGGGCTGGAGAGAGGGCAGGTCTTACTTTGACAGGAATTAGAGCTCTGCAAGCTGGAGATACAAAATGAGATTCCAAAGCCACTTTTTCTCTTTTAGACTCATTTTCTCTCATAAAACTTCATTTAATTTACCATCTTAAAGGAAGAAAAGAAAAATCCAAACATGAAAAAAAAAAAAAAACCAACCCTATGGAATCTTTTTTAAAAAACACAAATCTTGATGTTTTAATTTTTTTTTTTTTTTTTTTTTTAAGACGGAGTCTCACTCTGTCACCCAGGCTGGAGTGCAGTGGTGTGATCTTGGCTCACTGCAGCCTCCGCTTCCCGAGTTCAAGCAAGTTCAAGCAAGTCTCCTGTGTCAGCCTCCCAAGTAACTGGGACTACAGGTACCCACCACCACATCTGGCTAATTTTTTTTTTTTTTTTTTTTTTTTTTGTATTTTTAGTAGAGACAGGGTTTTACCATGTTGGTCAGGCTAGTGTGGAACTCCTAACCTCAAATGATCTGCCCACCGCAGCCTCCCAAACTGCAGGGATTACAGGCATGAGCCATCGTGCCTGGCCTAATTTATATTTTTTTAACTTTTAGGCTCAGAGGTACATGTGCAGGTTTGTTATATAGGTATTAATAAGTTGTGTTTCACGTGGATTTGGTCAAACAGATTATTTCATCACTCAGGTAATAAACATAGTACCCAATAGTAGTTTTTGGATCCTTGTCCTCTTCCCACCCTCCACCTTAAGTAGGCCCATGTGTCTATTCCCTTCTTTGTATTCATGTGTATTCAATGTTTAGCTCCCACTTATAAGTGAGACAATATAGTATATGGTTTTTTGTTCCTGTTTTATTTTGCTTATGATAATAGCCTCCAGCTCCATCCATCTTGCTTCAAATAACATGACTTCTTTCTTTTCATGGCTGCATAGTATTCCGTGGTATGTATGTACCACATTGTCTGTATCCAGTCTACTGTTGATGGTCATTTAGGTTGATTCCATGTCTTTGTTATTGTGAATAGTGCTGCAATGAACATAACACATGCATGTATCTTTATGGTAGAATGATTTATAGTCTTTTGGGTATATACCTAATGGATTGCTGGGTGGAATGGTAATTCTGTTTTAAGTTCTCTGAGAAGTCACTAAACTGCTTTCCACAATGGCTGAACTAAGTTACATTCCTACCGGCAGTGTATAAGCATTTCCTTTTCTCTGTAACCTCACCAGCATCTGTTATTTTTTGACCTTTTTATAATAGTCATTCTGACTGGTGTGAGATGGTATCTCATTGTGGTTTTGATTTGCA